TCTATCTATCTATCTATCTATCTATCTATCTATCTATCTATCTATCTATCTTTGGTTATTCGGGTTTTCTCCCGCATAAAATTGGAAGTATCTAGGCAACGTTTCGATGAAGTCTCATTCATCATCTTCAGGCTTGTGTCTTTGGCTTTGTGCTTCTCGGAGTAATACTTTACTCATCTTCAGACACAAGCCTGAAGATGATGAATGAGACTTCATCGAAACGTCGCCTAGATACTTCCAATTTTATGCGGGAGAAAACCTGAATAACCAAAAATCCACATACAAATACCCGCAGTTGTAGCAACGTTTTGGCAAAATCTCATCTGCCATCATCAGGCTTCTGTACAGATAGATAGATATATGTTGTGGCTCCGATTCCTGAGCCTGTGCTGTTAGAGGAAGAGGACTCGGAAGATGAGGAGGAGGAACTGGGCATGACTGCCTCCCCAGGACCTTCCTCTCTGGCAATGCCTTCCTCCTTGATAATGCCTCAGGTTTCATCAAACAACCGAGAGGAACAGCCTGAGATTAATCAGGAGGAAGGCATATCGGAGCAGCCCCTGACAAGGAGTCAAGAGGAAGAATGTTGGCTTGATCCTAAGCAGCGTCGTAGGAAGAAACGTGAGCAGCAACGTAGGAGGCGTGGGAGGGTCAGAGAGTGAGCTGAGTCATTGAGCCACACCCCACAGGGGATAAAAGTGGGTGTGTTGTCGGCTGTAACTTTGTACGGGACAAAGTTTAATCTTGCTTCAGGTTTTCTTTGTGAATGATTTTATGGTCTGCCTTGTAATTTTCTGGAAGTAGCTTTTTACTTGTTATCAGTTCGGACTTGGCAGGCAGAGCATGTTGGAATGCCAAGGACATTATCAGTTTCAAAGAATTAACTCTGTGAAGTCTGAGTCAGCTTGCCTGCCTGTGTTTCTGTGAGTTTGTACTCTTTCATCTTTTGGAAAGAAGAAAGGTGAGACAGAACATACACACACACACACACACACACACACACACACACTTACATGTATGGCATTCAGCTTTGTTCGGGTATTTTCCCACGTCATTGTAGTTGTGCTTTTAAAGTTGTAGCAATGTTTCGGCAGAATCTCATCTGCCATCATCAGGCTTCTGTATAGTGTTCATCATCATCATCATCATCATCAGATGAACACTATACAGAAGCCTGATGATGGCAGATGAGATTCTGCCGAAACGTTGCTACAACTTTAAAAGCACAATTACAATGACATGGGAAAATACCTGAACAAAGCTGAATGCCATATATATGTATGTGTGTGTGTGTGTGTGTATGTGTGTATAAATATACACACACACACACATACATATACATATACATGTAGGTCTAGGTGTGTTCGGGTCTTTTCCCATGTAAGATTAAGAGTATCTTGGTGACGTTTCGGCGAGGTCCCATTCGCCATCCTCAGGTTGGTGCTTTCAGCTTCATGCAGTGCAAGCAGTGTGTGATTGGAGCTGCCGTCTCTCTATAAATACTGGTGGTGGGGGCTGGTGTGCTGGGCTGGTTGGCTGCGCTGCTGCCAATCATTTTATATATATAAAAGAAATCGCAAAAAGGGTTAAATGTGGGTCAATTGTCAAGCATCTGAAAGTAAATCACGTGACTATGGGGATGCTGCAACAGTCATAAGAGTGAAAAATGGTCATAACTCACTTTTTTCAGTGTCATCGTAACTTCGACCAGTCACTAAATGAACTGTTGTAAGTTTAGGATTACCTGTATTATATGCATAGCCACACCCCCCCATTTTGTTTTGAAAATGAAATAGACTGGACCAGGAATTAGGTAATGTATAATTTTCCATTTACTGATTCCTGCCTGATATAATGATACTTTCCTCTTCCCCATTTCAATTCTTTGGTTACCAAGCTAACAACTACGAGCCAGAGCTAGTGCTATTATAGTTGTAGGTCTATGGAGATGCTCAGTCATCCAAGTCATGGTTGTTCGAAAGGTGCGTTTTCAAGAGGTAACTGGATTTCTTTGTTTTTCTTTGAAGTCGTTTCCTTTCTCATCCAAGGAACTTCTTCAGCTCTGATTGGATGGTCCTTCCATTCCCCACTATCCAGTCAGAGCTGAAGAAGCTTCTTGGATGAGTAGCAAAATATTTTAAAAGAATAACAAGGAAGTCCAGTTGCTTCTTGAAAAAGTGCCTTTGGGACTACCTTAGTTGTAAGGTGGAAAGTGCCTGAAAAAACAATCCAGTGCAGTTAGGTTAGTCAATTGTATAGAACAAAAATGCTTCCATCTGGGACTTCTGGCTTGAAGGGCTTCGGCGACAGACAGGAATCCACGATCGTGTGCGGTTTCTGCCTGGGCTCGCCGCTGGAGCGCCCCGAGCCGGCTGGTTTCGGGGCTAAGCCACCCCGTAGAGGTGGTGAAGAGGGGGGAGACTGCCAGCAGGGTTGAGGAGAGCCACACCTCTCCTCCTCAGCTGGCCATCACTCCCTTTCCCGAAGGCGGTAGGAGAGGTGGTCAGAAATGGCCACCTCAAAGAACTCAACCGGAAGAACGTGCAGGAGGAAGATAAGAAGTGAAAATTTTGGCTGACCAGGTTAAGTTGAAAAAGCAACAACTAAGGTACCCTGGAATCTAAATTTTACAAAAAATAACATCGCTCCCAAAGAAGAGTCGGAAGCAGCGAAAGAAACTGAAAAGGGAAAGGTTTGGTTTTTTTTTCTTCTCTCTCCTTCCTTATATTGACAACTAGGAGACCTAAACCACCTTCGGGAAAGGGAGTAATGGCCAGCTGGGGAGGAGAAATGAGGCTCTCCTCAACCCTGCTGGCAGTCTGCCCCCTCTTCACCACCTTTACGGGGTGGCTTAGCCCCGAAACCAGCTGGCTCAGGGAGCTCCAGCGGCACACACGGATTGAAGCCTCGCAGAGACGAGGTTTTGGTCTGTCACTGAAGAAGCTCAAACCAGAAGTCCCGGGAGCCACTACCTTTTTGAGGAAAAATCAATAAGGAAACAGCATACTTTTTCTGGGGATAGTTGTCAACAATTGGAAATATTCTAACATGCTTATTTGGTGAACCATAGAACGAATGGGTTGGAAGATATTTTGGAGATCTGCTGGTCCAACAGGTTCAGGGCCAGTGCAAGATTTTATGATTGCAGCAGTCCGTAGTGGGATGCTCTTTGTTTTGAAAAACAAAAAAACAAATTTCTTCATTTCTCTCACTTCACTGGGATGCTACATCATAAAGACCCCAAGAAGGGTGTGGTTTTCTTTAATAGAGTTGCATGCAGGTCTACTAGATGCACCCATTTCTTATGAGCAAAATCCTGCCCCTTTGGAACTGAGTGGGACTTTGTTCTCAGTGGTGGTTGAATCTAAGGTTGAAGTGTGGCTCTAAAGCAGAGTTCTCCAACCTTTCTGAGTTGGTGGCCCAGAGGAGGGGGAGGGTCAGGTGCCTTTATGCATGCATGCATGCACGGGGCTGCAAATGCCTGTGCTATGCTCATGGCAACACTAGCATGAGCGGAGGTGTGTGCATGCACATGCACCCACGCGCACTGGCCGCCCACAGGTTGGGGACCCCTGCTCCAAAGCATCACAGACATAAGCAGGGTAGGTCATGATTTAAATCAAGTTGATTTAAATCACAATTTAAATCATGATTTAAATCACTAATAAAAAGGCTTGATTTAAATCAACATGATTTAAATCTCAATTTTTAAAGAGCAACTGTTATCTCTGCTGTGAAATTGTGTGAGTGCATTAATGCAGTGCATGTTATCTCAGCTTTCAGAGCTTGGAGTCATTGAACGAGTTTACCAAAAATGTAAATATTGCAGAATATACAGCCTCATTCTACATAACTAAGCTCCATTTCATGCTGAATAAACTAAATTATTAATGTATCTTAAATAGAAAACTATCTTTAGATAGATTTTTACTCCAAAAGCACTGAATTTGATAAATTTGATAAAAATAAAAAAAAATCCGATTTAAATTTTAAAAAATCATCTATTTTTATCCACCAGAAAAGTGATCATCCCTCTTTTTCTCTTGCCATCCAGTTTTTTTTTTTGCTTTGGGTACCAGCCCCCTAACTCCATATATCCTCTTTCCACCCTGAGAGCTCATCAGCCTTTTTAAAACATAAATGGAAATATGCTCACACTTAGACTCACGTGTTGTTCTTGTGAGAATAGTTCATGAAATGAATTGTAGTTCACGAAAGCTTAGGCTATAAGAAATAAAGTCCTGCAAGATTACTTTAGCTGGCAATGTTACTTTCCTGGTTTTACACATTTTAACTTACATTTTCTCCAGAATTCCTGGCCGTAGAGTTCTTTGATATCAGGTGATACTTTGCTCCAGAGGGTTTTGAAGAACTCTGCTGCACATTTATCTAGTCCTGTTACAAATGAGCCTGGCTCGATGATGCTGACTTTGACCCCAAAAGGATGCATTTCACGTCTACAAGAAAAAAAATGACACTTTAAAAATTAGGGACTTTCCTCCTGCCTCCAACTAGAATCGTTCCTTGCTCCATCTTACCAGATCTCCAAATGTGCTTTTCTTCTGCTTTTTTTTAACTGAAGACTTTTCCGCCCCTGAGAATAATCCCAGAACTCAGCTAGAATTTATGAAAACAAGAGTTTGATAGCCTAAGAGCTGAATGAAAGAAAGTGACTCAAACAATAAAGGAGACAAAAAATACTGTCCTTTTTATCCCCTGAAGTGATTTGCTATTGGCAAACCAAAAAAATCCAGAAGAGAAATTTAATTAGGACATTTGCAGCTATGGAGGATAGCAGCAAACCAATTTAAATAATAACTGTTGGAAATAACTCAAAGCCAATGAAAGAATCGTTGAAAACAAAGAGAATTTATTAAAAAAAATAAAAAGGCAGTTTGCAAAGCGCCGGTGACCTTTTAGAACCCCAACAAGCAGGTTGAAATCAAAAGCCACACCTCTGAATTCCAGAACCTACTTTATATACAATCTCGACACCCAAGTTCCCTCCTTCTTGGGACTCATTCCCTCCCAACTTCAAACTCATTGGATATGCCCTCAGGTGTTACAGCTAATCCTAGGATGTCTCCAGGGAGAATTATCTTCTTCCGTTATGTTCTCACCCGTACCCTTCCGTACCTCTTATTTTGGCTGCTCACATGGCATCTTTCCTTGGCTTTAAGGAATGTAGCATCCCCTCATCAGGGCTCTTTCTAACATACCACTTCCGGCACGCACGCCATAGGTTCGCCATCACAGTTATATACCATTTTATTTTTGAATTTCCTTATTTCTTACAATAACCTCATTATGAAAGAGATTTTATACCCTTCATAAAATATTCCCTTGATTGTATCATGACTTGGGTGTCATTAACACACCCATCTGTGTAATTTTCCTGGCAACAGTGGTTTGACCCTCCCTTCTTCCAGAATACTTTTGACTATCATCTATATCAGGGGTGTCAAATTCAATTTCATTGAGGGCTGCATCAGGGTTGTGTTTGACCTCGGAGGGCTGGGTGTCTGTGTGTGTGTGTGTGTGTGTGTGTGTGTGTGTGGCCGGGGATGGACGTGGTCATAGTGGGCATGGCTAGAGTGGGTATGGCCATGGTGGGCGTTTGACACAGGCTCAAGATGCATTTTTTCCCTTCTTTCTTTCCACAATTACCACAACCCCTTTCCTATCTCTTCTACCAGATAATACTGGCAAATGTTTATTATTCTTCATACTCCACTAAACTTTTTATTTCTAAATTTATGTTTAATAGTAAATTGCTTGTTTAGGCAGAAAAGCTATTTATACTATTATAATTTTATTGTTCAACTAATAATAAATATTCAACAACAATATCATAAATAACAAAATCTAATAGCAGAGGTAAATTTCCAGGATAGTAAATAGAAATGGCTGACAATTATAGATACAGAATAGAATATAGAATAGATTATTGATTGTAGATTAAATATATAAAATCTGGCATTAAACCAAAGTATTAATGTAGGATGTTGCTTGCTTTCTATCCAGATCAGGCACTTTACTTGAAGCCACATAATTGTAATCTGGTCCAATCCAGTCCTCCTGCAGCACTTCACCAGCTCAAAATGGGCTGCACGGGGGCCTTGGATATGCCCCCCCCCCCCATGGCCTGTTTTGAGTGGCAGAGACACTGCTGGCTGGTCCTTTGATATTTTCAGGCTGGCCCTGTGGGCCAGTTTTAAGCATCCCGTGGGCCAAATCTGGCCCATGAGTCTTGAGTTTGACACCCCCTGATCTATATTGTGGATTTGCTAGTTGCCTACTATTCAAGATTGAAACAACTCTTAGTTTTTGGAGATCAGCCACAGTAGGATTTTTGATGTCACAAGCTAGGCTACCCTTCATATGAAATCTTCTAATCTTCAAGCTGAACTCAGTTCCTGTGATTTACAAACACATTCAGTTACTATATACGCTAAAAGCAAAACTTGATCTTGGGTACCTTAAAGTCTAATAACATTTTCATAAAATAGAAAGCTACTCATTTTTTTGAGATCAATCAAGTTTGGGCATGTGGGGTCAGAAATATCATCATCATCATCATCAGATACAAAAGGTGGAAGGGGAGGATGCTGAAAAAATTGCAAGCACTTTTGGTTCCTTCCCCACCCCTCCTATTTGAGTTCTTCTCCCTAGCAGCACTGCAGAGTTGCCTATAAAAGCTGCAATTGTGAAACGGGTGTGGGAGAGAGATGTGCACTTTGGAAGTTGTAGAGCTAGCAACACATAGAAAACAGCCAAATGGATGGAGCTTTTGTTTCTTTGCAGAAACCAAATGGTCCATAGGGAAAAAAAAGACGAGGCACAACAAAGCAAAACAAACCACATTGTGGAAGGTGCTAATGCTTAACATTCTGTGTATTATTAATAAAGAAGAAAAGAAAAGAAAAGAAAAACATTGGAGGGTGGAGGGAGTTAAAGACAGAACAGTGTAAGAAGAGAGCACTGCTTTATTCTAATAATAGCAGAAGTAATAAAAAGAGTACAGAAGTAATAATAGAATATAGTATAGAGAAAACTCTTTTGTAGCGATAATAGAAATAATATACGCTATGATAACAATAGAAAGCACTAAAAAATGTGTACATTTTACTTTTGTATCTGCTTTTTTCAAAGCAAGTTATCCCCATCCCTTATAAGGAGATCTAAAAATTCAGCTGATTCAGCATCTTTTGGGTCTGCATCAATCAAAATTGGTTGCAGTTTAAAAAAGAATCCGTGCCAATCATCACCATGGCTGAAAGCAGAATTGAGAAATTTAAAAGCAAATCACGGGAATGATTTTGTTGTTGTTGCAATATCCATTTTGTTTTACTGCCAATGGGTAAATATTTAATAATGCAATGACATGGATTTCCATTAAATGACATGCAATTTAAAAGCAAACAAACAAACAGAAATCCACAATGCTAGGGTGTGGGAATTTGAAAGAGAAGCCAAATCAAGGATTACCAATGCTTCATTTTGAAAGTAAGGCACCTGGACTTAAATCGGGACAGAAAATGTTCAAGCTTTCTACGTTCTTGAACTTAATTTATTTACTTACTGGGAGGCTGTGCATGAATGCTTCTTTTGGCCAGAATGTCCAACCCCCCGCAAAGAGACAGTGTCCAAACATGAGATGGCTAACAGATGGTGGTGATATGTATTCAACAACCACAGCTTGTTTGTGGTGAGATGAGAGGCTAGATGAGCTCTAGTTTCCTCTCCCCTTTCTCATGGTGATAGCAGGCGTAGGAGAGACAGAATGAAATAAATATTCAAGGGATTGACTTGCCGGAGGCTGTCAGAGAAGGCTTCCAATGCAAATTTTGAAGGGCTGTAGCCACCTCCACTATAGGCAATTCTTCCAGCCAAACTGCTTACGTTGACCACTCTGCCTCTGGCTCTCCTGATGAGGGGTAGCAAGTGGAGGGTCACATCAACTACTCCCAGCAAGTTGACATTTAGCACCTTTGCAAAGTCATCCTTGGTCAGCCACTGGTTGGGAGCCATTGGGAAAGAGACTCCTGCATTGTTCACCAAGCCCCAGAGTCCTGTGGAAACAGACTTACTTCTCTTATACAGAATTGAATTGATGGTTCAATATATTATTTTGAAGATATCTTCAGATATTTTAGCTGTTCATGTTGATTCATATTATAAACTGAAGTTTTTTTGGCACTAAAACTGAGCCACAGCATTACATTTTCCTTACTATACCTGGACAACCACAACCCGCCTCCCCACAAAGTTACATTGTATTTTTCTGTCTGTCTAATCTGTCTGTCTGTCTATCTGTCTAATCTACCTATCTGTCTAATCTATCTATCTATCTATCTATCTATCTATCTATCTATCTATCTATCTATCTAATCTAATCTAATCTAATCTAAGTATCATGTCCCCTACAAGGAGAAATTAGGTGGCTCACATTAACTCACCTCCCGGTTCTAAGTCAGGTTATGGCCACCAAGTTTACGATTGCACCTGTAGTTTTTGAACTAGCAAAATCTTTAAAATCTTTACCATTGAACTACTTACCATATTAGATATATTTTTTCTAGACACTTCTATCTTCACCATGCATTCAAGAGGTCCATCAAGCTATTTTTTTCTGATATCTTTAGTTATCTGAATAAAATAGCCAGCAACAATTTTTCTAATTTTTTATTATTAAGATGAGTTAGGACTATTTACATGGAAGGTATTTTCAATATGGCCGTTTTTCGCCTGCTGATACTTGGGACATAGTGATATGGTAGCTCCACCGATTTTTTGCAAAATAAGTTTTGTGAACAATATTGAGGGAGTTTTATAATAATTTCACTATGGAATAGGTCAGGGGTTGCCAACCTTTTGGACCTCAAGACCACCAAACTCATAATTTTAAATTCCATGTACCACTAATATGAATTTTGACTGACGGTGGCTTGCTGACGTTGGTGGGAGAGAGAGAGAGAGAGAGAGAGGGAGGGAGGGAGGGAGGGAGAAGGAGAGCGGGGGAGACTTTTGGCTTCATGCAAGGAAAACAGCAGAAGCAGCAGAAGTCTTTCTTTCTCTCCTCCAAATTCCACCAGAAATGAGTCTTTGTGAGACTTGTCGCGCCAGCCCAGCCTCTTGGAGCAGGATGCCTTGCAGGGTCCCAAAGACTCATTTCTGGCGGAGTTAGGGGAGGAGAAAGAAAGACCTTTGCTGCTTTCCTTGCATGCAGCCAAAAGCAGAAGAAGAAAGAAGCAGAAAGAAGCAGCCTGGTGGCCAGGTGAGACATGTGGGGCATATTCCCCTCCTCCGCCCTTTCCCCCCTTCCCTCACTATCTCGTGTTGTTCGCAATGCAAGTGATGCAAGCCTTGTGTTCCCATGGGCCATGTGGGTGGTGCAGCCTTGTGTTTCCACGCAGCCTGGATTAATTGCTTTGGGGGGTGCTTTGGGGGTGACATTTCTTTGTGGACCACCAAAATTTTCTCGTGGACCACCAATGGTCCCCGGCCCACTGGTTGGTGACCACTGGAATAGGTTATGCCAAGATTGAAAGGCAACTTGATTCCAAGGTCGTTCAAATACATTATTGGATGTCTGTGGAGATTGTCAGTCATCCAGGTCATGGTTGTCCCAAAGGTGGTTTTTCAAGAGGCAACTGGACTTTCTGGTTTTTCTTTGAAGATGTTTTGCTTCTCATCCAAGAAGCTTCTTCAGCTCTGACTGGTTGGGGGTGAATGGAAGGAAGTTGACTAGGTGATTAAAGTACCAGGCTAGAAATCAGGAGATTGTGACTTTTGAGTTCCGCCTTAGGCATGAAAGCTGTCTGGGTGACTTTGGGCCAGTTATTCTCTTTCAGCCCAACTCACCTCACAGAGTTGTTATTGTGGGGAAAATAAGAGGAAGAAAGAGTATTATGTACACTCACCATCTTGAATTATTTCTAAAAATAATAAAGGTGGAGTAAATAAATAAAAGCAGTTAGGTCCAATTGGCCTCATGCAGAAAGAACAATATTTAGGCTGTACCTTTGTCTCCTACTTGCTTCTCCACCCACTCAGTTGCTGCTTCAACACTCTCACTGCTAGTGACATCCAGTAGGGTGGTTTTCAAACAAGCCGACGTGACTTTTTCCAGCTGTTCTGCCCCTTCTGGAGTGAGACAAGCTGCCAACACCCGCAGACCCCGAGCATCCAGCTGCCTGGCCAGCTGATTCCCAAAGCCAGAATCACAGCCCGTGATGAAGACACATTTCTCCGTCAGGTTCTCCACCTTTTGTCTTTCCCGGTACCATTGGCAGAGGATGTAAAGCCCTACCAGGGCAACCAGGTAGAGCAACATAGTTAAAACCTGCAAAATAATGAACTGTAAGCCAGAAAAATCCTGCATATTAATGAAATAGCTTCAATAATCCTAATGCAATCCTAAATTGCATTAACAGAGGGATACAGTCAAGATCAAAGGGAAGTACTAATACCACTCTATAAAGCCTTAGTAAGACCACACCTAGAGTACTGCATCCAGTTTTGGTCACCACATTATAAAAAATATGTTGAGGCTCTAGAAAAAGTACAGAGAAGAGCAACCAGGATGATTAGGGGACTGGAGGCTAAAACATACAATGAACAGTTGCAGGAATTGGGCTTGGCTAGTCTAGTAAAGAGAAGGACCAGGGGAGACAGGAGAGCGGTCTTCCAATATTTGAGGGGCTGCCACAGGGAGGAAGGGGTCAAGCTATTTTCTAAAGCACCTGTAGGCCAGACAAGGAATAATGGATGGAAACTGAACAAGGAGAGATTCAACCTGGAAGCAAGGAGAAACTTTCTGACAGTGAGAACAATCAACCAATGGAACAGCTTGCCCTCGGAAGTTGTAGGAGCGCCATCAGTTGAGACTTTCAAGAAGGGATTGGACTGCCATTTGTCAGGAATGGTGTAGGGTCTCCCGCTTGGGCGGCAGGGGGTTGGACTAGATGACCTACAAGGTCCCTTCCAACTCTGATTATCTATAATCTAAAAATGTCAGCAGCTGATTCGTGTTATATAATTATATAATTCATGGAATTATATTTTGTTGTATCATCTCAGCTTTTCCTAAATAGTCTGGTGAAAGGGAACATGGCCTTTTATGAGACAACCTTTCCCATTGGTTGGCAACATTTACCATCAGGATACTCTTCCTCATAACTCACCTACGTCTACTTCCCCGGAGCTTTTAATACAGATAGCCATTGCTTAATGTCCACTTGTTCAGTGACCATTTTTAAGCTACAAGGCCACTGAATGAGAGATACTTATGATAGGTCCTTATAGGCCCCCATAGTTGGGGCCATCACAGCATCCCTAGGGTCATGTGATCATGATTTGAATGCTTGGCGACTGGCTCACAATTATGACATTGCAACATTCCACAATCACGTGTTAATCATTTATACTTCGCAACCCTCTTTCTGTTCAGGACAGTCAAGGGGGAAGCTGGCAGGAAGATGCAAATGGTGAAAATGGTGAGACACTGCAACCATACAAGTTATGACCCTAATGGAGCCTGCCCATTCCGTTTGAAGATCAGGACAATGTTAAATGGACTGGCTCAAGTAATGATCAGCCATCCCTGCTTTTTCCAGTGCATTCATTAAACGAATGCACAGGTTATTAAGCAGGAGTGGGGGAGATAATGCAGGCACTAGATAATGCAGGCACCAGCCTACCTGGCCTCAGGCCTCCCAAGGCCTCCCTTACCCTGAGATAGCCATGCTTCCCACCCCTTGAATGTCTTGCATGCTGTCCTGAGAAACAATGAGGAAGGAAAAGTGCGCCTGCCTTTCCTAATTCTGCCTCTGCCCTTCCTCCTGCCAAGGTGCCCTGCTTTTCTAGGGCAAAACAACAATAACACAGTTTTCTAGCCCTTTGGGGCATCTTCGCTAATCAGCTCTCCATTCATTAGCTGTCCATGAGCACACTGCAAAGCTCTCCCGCATCTCTAGGCTTTGGGAAGAGGGCCTTTGCACAAAAGGCAGTAAGCTTCCCAAAACCTTTTCTGTCCTTAACGCCTTTCCCTCCTTCCTCAAAAAGCCACATTTCTTCAATTTAAAAAAAAAGCTGGGAGGGACTGACTTGTTGCTCTTCCCTCCCTGCCCCATTTAGTTACTAAAAGTAAACTCTCCCTCTGGTCTCCAATTTCTATCCCTTTTAAAAACTTTGCTTTGACTCCAGGCTGAAGAGCAGAGGAACCGAGCTGGCAAGGAGAGAAAATCTTTCTGCAGCTTTTCATCCTGAACTAAACAAAAAAAAAAAAAGTCATCTCTAAAAGCTGTGCCAGAAAATGGAGGATGCTGGATCTTTGCCAGCTTTAGCTATCTGTTGGCTGCACGTGGAGCCCAGCTAGGACTTTAACCAGGGATGCCAAACTTGCAGCGTCATGTTGTCATCACATGATGTATTGGAACTTTTTCCCCACCCTAAACTGGGGGTATGCGTGGCCAGTGTGTGACACATCTGGCCCACAGTTGACGAGTTTGACACCCCTGACTTAAACAGTCGGGCAGTGTTTCTCAACCTTGACAACTTTAAGATGTGTAGACTTCAATTCTCAGAATTCCCCAACCAGCAGTCAGTCAGATAAATAAGCTAAAAGACTGGAAGTGATGTTGCGGCAACACCAGTCACAAGGGAACAGAGCTTTCCTTCCCTGGGCTGGCTTCTTGTCCGTGGGCTGCAGAAAAAGTCTACACTGCCTTGGAGGGGCGGTGAAGCCAAAGACGGGCATCCTCTACTCCCCTGTAGAACCCCAGGGATCACCATGGCAGGAAGAAGAGGCAGCCAAAATGGCTGCCACACAGCTGGAGACAGCTTCACAACTAAGAAGCGTGCTGGAGGGGAGCTGGTGAACAGTGTCTGGAACTGGGTGAGAAAAATCATTTTTATCTAAGGTCAACCCCAAGAAAAAGAAGATTCAGAAAAAGAGAGGCTCAGAACTATAGAACTATAGTTAAAGTGGTGGCGTCCTAAGTAGTGAGTAAAATTATATTTTAAAATGGAAGGGAAAGGAAGAAAATAAAAAACTTGCTAAAAATACAAAAAATAGGACTTTTAAATTGGACAAATGTTGGCTGTGGATAGGCATTGTAAAATGCTGGAACTATCTATACAGTGCCAAACTGTATATACATTTTTATTTTTTAAAAAACATATCATTGTGTGAACAGTGTGGTACTAGAGTATCTTACATTTTAAAACAAATATAACGATAGTCTTCATATTCAGTACAGTTGACTTTGCACAGGCGTAGTGGCGTTCCAACTCACCTCCTGCAAGCCTGCACTCTCCTAGTCATTTCAGCAGCTGTTACATGGAACTCTGCTGTGTCGTGCAAAGCAACTACACTTAAAAAACAGAGGATAAAGATGAGTATGGGAGCCTGGGTGAGCGGGTTGGCCCACAGCAGATTGGCGGAGAGAACCGGTTCAGTCTCCGCTGCTCACACCACTATCAGCTCGGCAGAACTGGACTGAACTGGTAGAATACCACCACTGTACCTATAAAAAGTCAATACTACATTTACATTTTGGGAAATTTGAGTAAAATTGAACAAAAAATAAAAAAAGACAAGATAAAGTGAAAATTGATGTAAGAGCACCACCTACTATCAAAGGGAAGCACAATATATTCCCAAAATACTGGAATGGCCTGGCTTTTGGAGATTTAAAGGGGAGAATAAGAAAAACTTTTTCACTAAAAAGACCCCTGAAAGTTTCAATATAGACTGGTAATGGAAATGGGTAGAGAAGGAAGAAATGTTTAAGAGGAGGGGCCATGAAGTGGTAGTAGATAGATCTAAAGATCCAAAAGAGGAATATGGGAGACAAGCCAAGAAATGAATAATTAAAGTTTTAGTGTGAGTGAGAGATGATGGATAATAAGAAAGGATTAGAAGTTAGAGAAAGGGGGATTAATGGAATAGATTCTTTTTTATATTATAAGGTGAATTAACAACAAGGGATTTTAGAATTTCAATGAGGGTAATTTTGAATATGATATATCGAATAATCAAACAATTGAAGAATATAACTCAGCATAAATATGTGTATTATTAAACTATATAAGATTGTTGAATGTAAAAAATATGAATATTAACATTCTATCTGCAGAAAAAAGAGTGCTATGCAGAATTTGAATGACATAAAAATAACATACTGAAATATTAAATAAGAGAATAATGAAAGATTATAATTTGATAAAAACAACTGTATCATTATTAGAATTATATAACTTGTCAAATGTAAATATGATGAATATTATTTTATTTGTATTAAATAAATTGTAAAATGTGATTAGAAAGGGGATATTTTTAAATACTGTATAATAGTGGCATAATTAAAAATTAGAAAAGGGATAAATAATGGAAGATTATAACTCAATACAAATTGGTGAATTATTAGAATCACATAACTTTGTTAAACACTATAAATATGATTAATAATATTTTATTTGTAGTAAAAAGAGGGATATTTAGAATATGGAGATTGACACAAAAATAAGATATTGAAATGGTGAATAATCAAAGGAAATATGTGTACTAATATGAAACTTTATAAGATTGTCAACTGTACTGAATATGAAGACTATCGTTATAAAATGTAAGATACTCCAGTACCACACTGTTCACACAATGATATGTTTTTTAAAAAATAAAAATTTATATACAAGATAAATAAGCTAAAACTTGCAAAGATCCAGCATCTTCCATTCTGCAGCACAAGTTTCTATTTGATTTATATTTTGGAGATAAAGTATTTCCCCCCTTTCCTTTCTGGGGAAAAAGCTGCAGATTTTCTCTTCTTCGTTACTTGATTCCTGTTCTTTTCAGCCTGGAGCCAATGTAAGGTTTTTAAAAGAGAGGTTGGAGAGTGGAAGGATTGTTTACTTGTTGCCGGGGTAGGGTGGGTGGGATATTATGCACCTCCTCTTCAGCTCCTGAACAAAAGATTAAATTTAACTCTAAGAAACCAATAATGAAACAGAGCTAGAAAATTAAGAGACAGAAATCAGAAATAAGCAAAGAAAAGAGTAAACTATGATAAGACTATATGCTAAGTCATTGGCTCCTTGCCCCAGGGATCCTTTACATTTGTGAGGATGAAACCATTCAGGGTGCGAATGGCAATTATGTTCAGGTAGTGTCTTTAATCACTGAATATCAAAACTATATTGAGAGTGGCTCCACACTTTATGTTGATACACATTTGATTTGCGTCCCACTATGTGTACAAAAGCTCAAGGCAACACACATAGTGTTCCCTTCTCCTATTTTTTCCAATAGGTGAAGTTGGTAATGCTGGTATGAGAATATGGTGATGAGAATCCCTGGCCCAAAGCCACTCCATGCAGGGTTTCGGTTGATTGATACTATGCTCCAAGGCTAATCCTGTATTATTTTTTTCTGTTTGTTTTTACTACTGTTTGTCAAATTTGTTAACTGCTTTTGTGGGCATGGCTAGGTGGGAATGGCCATATGACTGGCTGGGCATGACTTCTTTTTTTTGTACCCCGCCCTGCACTCTGTTTTTAGGCCTCCTGGCCCTCAGGAAGCCTCCTGGGGGGTGTTTTTGCTCCCAGAAGGCTTCCCTGAGGCACAGAAAGGCAAAAAAATGGAGCGCAGGGGGGGCACAGCTCCCCCCACACCCCTTTTTGCTTCCTAGGCCTCAAGGAAGTCTCTTGGGTGAAGCAGTAAGACAGCGAGGGGGATCCTGGCACAGATGTTCATCGAAACGGCTGACTGTCAGGAGGAAAAAAAAGAAATACTTTAAAGAGTGACTGGGTGGGGAAGAATGCAGTCAATATGTCGAGCATGTGCGTGATGTCATACATGCACGATAAGGACTGACTGGGTGGGGGAGAGGAGGGATGGAGAGCGGCAGGGCCAGACAGGGGCATGATTTGCCACTTCTCTGAATTGCACAGAATCGTAACAATAGGTTCTATAGAACCGGTCCGAACCGGTAGAATCCCACCCCTGGTTGTAACTCGTGTCAGTTGTAAAGAGAGTTGGTCATGTGACTGAGCCAATTTTACAATTTTTTTTTTGTGGCAAATGCCACAGTCATTAAGTGAACCAATTGCTCACTGTGGGCCAGTTTTGCTGAAAACCAGAAATAAATGATGGTGGTTTTTCTTTTTTTTGGCAAAACTATCATAAAATATGGTTATGTGACCATGGACCCTTCAACTGGCTATAAATGTGGCCTGTTTCCCTAGCTCTTGAAGTGTGGTCATATGGAGGTGGCGGTGACCATTGAAACTTTGAATCTGGGTTGTAAGTACCCCCAGATATGTCCGTTGGAATTTTCAGTGGTCACTAAATGACTAGTAACAAGTCGAGGAGTACCTGAAATTTGTAAAGTAGTAATTGGTAATTTGTAAAAAAATGTATTTTTTTAAAAAATAAAGCCTTTTAACAGACTAATTGTTGGAAGAGTGTTCATTATTCAGGAACATCTGTTGAATCATATCCTTTTGGGAATTGTACAACATTTGCGTACAGATACAAATGACATAAATCGGCACAAAATACACTATTGGGGAGAGCAGCACACCGTATTCTCTGCATTCCAAATGTGCCCACTAGGCAAATAGCACAGCTTTCCTCCTTAATAGATTTTGTGAGGTAAGAAAAATGTTGGATGAAGAGATAGGGAAATAGGATGGTTTTAAGGGGAAAATGTTGCTAATTTAAGTCCCCATTCTCTGAATGAAGCTGCAGAGTTGTACAACAGAAGTCTCCCCCAAGAATATTCTCAGATTAATACAGTTTAACAGTGTTTTTCAAATTTAAAATGAGTGGATTTCCAGAATTTTCCTGCTGGTTTGCTGTCCTGGAAGTTAAAATCCACACATCTTAAAGTTGCCAAGTGTCAAAAGCACTGGTTTAACAATTTTCCCTTTTAGGCTGAGAGAAGTGGCAACATTCATGGGTAAAGTAGGGATGGATCTTTTTAAGACTTGGGATAGGAAATTCCTAAGATATAGGGATAGATTTGGAAAGTGAAAAAATATTCCCAGAATTTAAACCATGAAAATCTTGAAAGTCCTAAAAATATCACACTCACCTTCAACTTTCCTTACAGTTTTATTTCTGGTATTTGTGACTCCAAAAATTATCTGGAACTTAAGTGTCCTTAAAAAGACACTTCAATAAACATGGATAATTTTGGCATTATACAGAGTTAGTGACAGATATCTCTTTCAGCATGTAGTACTCTTTAAAGGAAAGCTAAACAATTCTTTGATAAATAGATCTCTTACCTCTTTTAGCTGTTTCAGCTTCTGATATTGCAGAATTTTGAAATATTCTGGTGAATCTTAATTCTGAAAGCTGGACACTGAAACACTTGGTCTGCAGGTGCTGAGAGCCAGAATAGTTCATTACTTGCTAGAAGTTTCAGATAGGTTGATTAATATGATCCAAGAAGGCTGAACTTAAGTCTTACGATCATGTGACTGGCATTTTAATGTCAGTTAAAACAAACACTTTCATCCTTGGTTGGCTCATTATATGAATTGAATCTGTCCTATGAGCTTGCATTCTTAGACTTTACCCAATGTGGCAAAAAGCACCCAGTGCTTTGTTCAAAAGTTTGTCCAAAAAAGAAACCAGAGTGGAACGACCCACAAACTATTGCATAACATACTCAGAGCACTGTTGGGGAAAACGCTGACTGAGATCTGTTATTGTTGGTAAAAGTGCTATAGCCGCACCAAAGGGAAAACCGTTAATTTAGCCATCAAACATTTAGAAAACCAAGAAATTCTGGTAAACTAGGAAAAGATATTGGGTGATGAGCAGAGTTCTGGAAAGCAAAAGTAAACAACTCCCTAGAAAGAAAAAATGTTCATGGAGTAACTGCCTTTTTGTCCTTACAACCCCCCATTGATTTTGTTATCCTTCCCCATTATGTCAATGGCCTCACTGACTTCATGAGGCAGATGATCTGTCCTATCCTATGAAATGCTTGATAGCTCTGTCAAATCATAACATGCTTTAATTTGCCTAATTCTATAAAGAGAGACTGTAACCTAAGCACTTTTTAGGTAATTCTGTCCTGCTTCCTGTTATCTTTAACTGTCAATAAATCAAGTTGTTCTTTCACAGAAATGTATTCATCTGAATGAATACATTTGATGAATGAGTACCTCAAGATGAACTTGAAAAAGGGAGAGAGAGAAAAAAATCTTACAATACTGTCAGAGACTGTGTCATGATTTACATATTTGATTAGATGTACAGGTAGTCCTTATGACCATAATTGGGCCTGTAATTGTAACTAAGTCGTTGAGAAGCTTATCACATGACCGTGCCCAATTTTACAACTTTTGTGGCAGTAAAATGAACATGACGGTCATTAAGCAAACATTGCAGTTGTTAAGCGAACCCGTAAATGCAGGTGAGTTGCCGAGCATCCAAAATGCAGTCACATGATAGGAGGGCCATTGGAACTAAGAATCCAGGATGTAAGTACCTTTTTGAGGGTCCATTATATTTTTGAATGGTTGTTGTGCAACCAGTTGTAAGTTGAAGGCTACCTATAGAAATCCTTGTTTGTAACTCCAGCATATTGAAGAACGTTATGTCTCACTAAATATTTACTGCTCTTATTTCAAAATGGCCTCTGTATGGAGAGGCCATTTTACGGTGCTGTGCTTTTAATCCTTGCACAATTTTCTTGCAACCTTCTTTGCCTTCTTTCCAAAGATTAAGAGAAACAAATCGCTTGAACATTTTTTTTTACTTCTCCTGTAGAAGCTTCACGCCTCGAAATAGCCAAGCAAAACAGATAGTTCTTGAGTTATGGTCATAACAGAGCCTGCCATTATGATTGCAAGTCATGACAGTTATTAGGTGAGCACCCAGGTGATTGCCTCACATAATGATCCCCAGCCCTGTCTCCCCGAGGAGGACATTAAAGACCCTGCAGGTCATTAAGTGGGGCATGGGTTGCATGTGAAGCGAACAAAGAGAATTTTTCCGAAGCAAAACACTTTCAAAGACCCTGCTAGAACTTTTCTAAAAACGTTTTGTTGTTTGACTGATTGCCTTTGGGATCCAACTAGGACTCTAAAGGCAAGTCAACCACGATCACACATTTTAAACTATTTAGGTTATTTAAAAATGGCACTGTGAAATATTTCTACACCAGAGCCACCAGCAAAATTCATAATGTATTGTATTGGTGAGGATTACACAATCACAGATATAAGCTATGTCAATTCCTGACCATAAGAGGGCACCAGCAGCTCATATACTGTACAATATGAATCTTTTTTTTTTAATAGCTTACTGAATTGGTAATAAAAGACTGGGTGGGTGGGTGTCTCTGAAATTTGATATATATATATTTCAATAGTAACTAGGTCTGCATGCCAAATTGATAATAGAAAATGGTTCTCCCAGATACAGCCTGACATTAATCTGAATTAATTAAGGTTCTTTAATAACCCCGTGGTTCTACAAAATTGTGGTTTGTGCTTCTGGAAAAAAGCATAAGAAGAAAAGAAAAGAAAAGTGGCTAAGAAAGTAGGATAATGTCAATCTTGAACAACAGTGCTGCCTTATGGCTTGGATTAGTTTTTAGATATATCTTCAGACTTGACAGTTGACAGGTGACAGTTTTAAAGGAGTTACTAGTCAAGCTTTTCCACCAGAGTAGCAAGTGATACTGTACTATATACCCCCTAGAGATGTTAAGGTGCCCAAAGCCATCTAAATGTTAGGGGGTAGATGATGTAGTCCTCCTTCCTTCCTTCCTTCCTTCCTTCCTTCCTTCCTTCCTTCCTTCCTCAAACTGAGAGATTTTATTTGCTTGCTCACTCACTGTTTTTCCATTGCTTCTTGTTCTGCCTTCAGATGCTTTGGAGAATAGGTTGACCCCTCTTCTTTATGGAAACCCTTTAGCTATTGGAACATTGCTGTCATGTCTTCCCTAGTCTTTTCTTTTCATTAAACTACTGTAGACTTACCCAATTTCTTCAACTGTTCTTCATAGGTTTTAGCCTCCAGTCTCCTAAGAACTTTTGTTGCTCTTTTTTTGCACTCTTTCTAGAGTCTCAAGATCTTTTTTATATTGTGATGACCAAAATTGAACACAGTACTCCAAGGAGTGGTAGTATTCTACTGGCTCAAGCCCAGTTCAGATGAACCGGTAGTAAGAAAACAGCTACTGGATCGGCTGAACTGGTATTTCTTTTTTCTTTTCCTCCTGATCATCAGCTGTACCGATGATTAGCTGTGCCGGGATCTACCTCGCTGTTTTACTGCTTCACCCAGGAGGCTTCCCTGAGGCCCAGGAGGCACAAAGGGGCACACGGGTGTGTGTGTGCTGTGCACATACTCTCGTGCTCTGTTTTTTTGCCTCCTGGGCCTCAGGGAAGCCTCCCAGGAGCAAAAACGGCCTCCCAGGAGGCTTCCCTGAGGCCCAGGAGGCCAAAAAGGAAAAAAAAAAGGAGCGCCAGGGGAGGTGCTGTGAAAAAAAATCCACACCCACCCAGTCACATGGCCACACCTACCTAGCCACACCCATAGAACCAGTAGTAAAAATATTTGCATCCCACCCCTGACTCCAAGTGTGGTCTTACCAAGCATTATAAAGTGGTGCTAACACTTCACATGATTTTAATTCTATCCCTCTGTTACTGCAGCCTAGGACTGCTTTGCTTTTTTGGTGGCTGCAGCACACTCATATTTAAGGGATTACCCACTGGGACTCCAAGATCTCTCTCACAGTTATTACTACTGATCCAGGTACCACCTATTCTATACCTATGCATTTGGGTTTTCTTACCAAAGTATGCAACCTTATTTTCCTCATCATTGAGTTTTGTTGTCTTAGAAAAATATGGGCAGATCCAGTTTCAAGCTAAAGAAAAAACATACCAGGAGGAGTCAAACTTTTCTCTGAGATCCTATTTTCAGGAGATCACTTTGAATCTATTCTGCCCCCCCCCCCCATGAGCTCACCTGTGCCAATTTCACTCTAGATATGCTGATAACCATTTCAGCTGGCTGAAGATTTTCTTGTTTCAAACCCACATAGGGTCAATTAGAGTGGACCTGACTGCTAGACATTCCTAATGGGTTGGTTTTTGCTGTGGGAAGTTCTTATCCCTGAGGAATAAACATTTTCATTTTCAATTTCAATCTTGGCTTCCAATTGAGTGATGGGCTCCTTTTTATTTTTTTAAAAAACTGCCTGAGAAATGTTAGGCATAACATTTTAATGAGGACAGGCAACTGTTTTCAGGTTCACTGTGTGTTTTTTCTCCTAAAGAGGCTTATTTGTGTGTGTTTGTTTTTGTAATAAAGGTCCTCCGTACCCTGGGCTGATTTAATTATTGAATAATTAAACTTTAATGCATGTGGGTAGGAATGATTAGGATGGTAAATCAAGTTGTACTAAAAGTGGAAAAGAAGAAGAGGAAGAGGAAGCAGTAGCGATTGCCAAAGCTAGTTGTTCACATTTGCAAATTAAAACAATGTAGGGTTATGATCCTGTCCAAAATCTACACTGGCCTACATAATGATCTAAATAGGTAGACCAACTAATATGAAGAAGTAGATTCTAGAGTTAAATTGGATGAAGCAGATGTTTATAGAACAGACTTTTTCTCATATTTTCTCTCATAGGAATGTCTCTTTAAATATGGCAATCATTGTCAATCTTCTGTCTTGAATTAGAATGTCAGTCCAAATTAAACATTCTTGGCTACCTCTCTTTTTTGTTTATGCCTTTACTATCAACTGATATTCCTTTCTCAATATTCTGTTTAAAGAACCCCCAGCAAAAGCAGTTCACAAGCAGTTCACATCTGATTTCCAAAGTAGGTCATTGACCATATATGAGATCCAGTGAAAAGGGGAAGATAATGTTCTTTAAACTCTTTCCCCCAGTAAGTTATATACTACCTGGTGTCCTAGAAATTGTTGTTGTTTTTTTGCAAATGTCAATTTCTGCTCAAGTTCCCAAGGAACCATTTGCAATTTTGGAGAACTGCCTAGGAAAGAAGAAAACTGTAATGAAACCGATTTGGAGGATCTCAACATACAAAAGTATGTCCCTAACAATGAATCTTCAGGGTGACCCTTTTGAATACTATCATCAGGATAAACTGAACCAAGGATGCTTTTTCAAATTAGTTCTATGGACACCTTGTCTCTTTCATGAAATGTATCAATATAAGCCATTTCAAAACAGATGTTGGCCATCTGTGCACACCCTTCTCAGACAGAGCTATGAATGAATGAATTATGTAGTGTGAACTGGTGACTGGGATGGAGATAACTCTGCCATATTAACCTGGTTGGATTGAACTACACAGAATATTCAAATGCATGTAATAAAACACATATTTGAAGTCCCTGTGCTCTCTGGATGTCTTGGTA